TCGCACAACGAGTCTGTGTGCAAAATGTCAGCTCGATTGGATCACGGGAAGTGGGTTAAAAAACGACCGAAAGATTTGCACGGTCGTAAGCAAGCAAGCAAGCACGCAAGCACGCAAGCAAGCAAGCGAACTTAATATAAAGGATTTAATAATAAGTATAACCCGTAAAAACAAAGTTTTTCACTTTAAATCCTTTATATGCGTGGCAGCGAACTTAATATAAAGGATTTAAAAATATATTCGCCTGTGGAGGACGCGGGGATCGATCCCGCTACCTTTGGCATGGGAAGCGAGGGCGCTACCAACTGCGCTACTCCGCCACGGCCTGTGGAGGGGTTACGCTCTGGTCTCTTATACTGTGATGTTCAGCCAAAGCCATGAATGAGTTCTATTTGAATATATGTAAAATAATTTTTTTTTGCCTAAAAAGTGTAAAATTTTGGGAATTTTTTTTCACGAACATTAATTGTCTCGCACAACGAGTCTGTGTGGAAAATGTCATCTCGATTGGATCACGGGGAGTGGGTTAAAAAACGACCGAAAGATTTGCACGGTCGTAAGCAAGCAAGCAAGCACGCAAGCAAGCACGCAAGCAAGCAAGCACGCAAGCAAGCAAGCGAACTTAATATAAAGGATTTAAAAAGGGGAGCGTCGCCGACAGTTGCTGCTCTTGCCTGGGACGAAGACGAGTTGGTGGATACGCTAGAGCAGTACTCGACGGAGAGATGTGAACATCTACACATACGAAAATAAAGATCGTGCCTCAATCTTCATGAACATCTCGTCGGAGCTTTTTTACAAATGTACAGAAACAGAATAGACATAAACTGAAGATTCTGAATATTGTATGGTACCTGCATGTTGATCAAATACTTGGGGATACCTGCATATTGAAAACTAAATTTAAAATAATCTTGAAAAAATAACAATGCAAGTAATAACCCATGATCGTAATTCGCACACAAATAACCGCTAAATAAAATTTATCTAATTTGCTTGGCGATTTAAGTGTTGGAGCAGGCGAAGGCTGTGCAGGAGCCGCGTGGAGCCACACGTCCTACGCAGTCTTGGTGCTACGTGGGTTCTGGATTCCAAATAACGGACTGTGACGCCAACGGACTGAGTTCAGTTCCCTCTGGGATCACTGACAACACCCAGATCCTGAATTTGAAAAACAATCGCATAGAGAGACTCCCCGAGGGGGTGTTTGGCCCAGTGTGGTATCATCCCATCACTTCATTGAGAACTTGATCCCCGTGTTGCATGTTGCGGATAAATGAAGGACGCTTTATTGCTAAAAGAAATTGCTTGATGTTTCCGATAGCCTTGTGATATCGTTTGCACGTGAACTCGACTGATGTTTTATATAAACAGAGATTGTGCCTTCACAATGAATAATGAGGCAGGACTTGCTTTAATGTGGTAAATCATTATGAAGATTGGATGGACGTCGAAGACTAAATTCGCGATCCGATTCATAAATGCCGTCGCTCACGATATACGCTTGGATGTGCGTGTAACGAATCTGTTGTCGCGGTCGATAAAATACAAACTATTTTGTGGGGAAGTCAGCAGTGGTTGTCCTTTGGAGAGACTCGCCCCCGGTATAGGAACGTGGAATTTCCATCACTCACTCTGGGCTCTACGCATGGCTGTACAAATGAGCACCAACGCCTCAATGCTCATTTGAGCAGGAGATCACTTTGACTCAAAATGCAACGCATTTGTCTCGAACAATAACAAATGGTGGCGGTGCATACTGACGGTACCGCCATATTTACGTCTCGCCTGTGCCGACATCCGCACGACAAAGTCTACCCATGTGAGCAGTGGAAACACATCAGCCTTTCTCATTCAACTGCTAGATGAAGACCTCTCCACACCTTTTCGTAATGGGGCATTCATGAGCATACTTCATCCTGTTGGCACTGCATGTTTCTGAATGCGAGTGGGGAGCGCATCTCCATCGGAGCGGAGCAGTGCAGTACGAAGGGGGTGGTGGGTGGGTTTGGGGGTTCTGCTGCACTGCGCTCTGCTGCGAAACGCGGTGTCATTGCACAATGTGAGTCGCATCGCCTGTTTCGAGTGATCTGCCTATCGGGCACGCAGTATCGTGTCACTGTTACATCTCTGTACACGTTTTAATATAATCAGCAGCAGCAGTAGCCATAATCCACTGTTAGATGAAGCCCTCCACCAGCGGTCAGTATCCGTATATTGCACATGTCTATATGGGCATGTCTACATTCATATGAACTTGTCTATATTTTCATGACAGAGCTGCTTCTGATCGCTAACAGAAACTGCTACGTCCCTCTCGGACATTAGATTTTCTCTACCGATATCTCACTGCTCAGGGGAGTTTGTTTGCTAAACATTGGGAGACTGGGTTCATGCGGCAACTTCACATTCTCCACGAGTTTCAAGGCGGCCTACTGTGGGTCACGGGCTTCAATCATACATCAGTCAAACTGCCCTCTCTTTCTCCTCTGAAGAAGGGCCATTGCACGAAACGTTCGCATATCATATCTCACATATTGCACCGAATTAAACCAACCATCGTAGACACATTATGTTTATAGACATTTGCTGAAGACACGGTGACCATGTATATTTACTTTAAACACGCCATGGAAGACCCGAAGCATCACAAACTCGTGCTTTGACGGTGAGCGAGTGATGAGCGGTGTCGTGTTTTAAAATTAAATTTCATACGCAAGCATAAAATATAAAATAGTCTCAAGGTGATGTATGTGTCTATGACATAGGTTTCATTATCAGTCGCTGTTGCGCGGCCTCTGTGATTAGCCGACCCCAGCCATCTATCTGTACAACAACCCCTGGGACTGCGCCTGTTCACACGGCCTGCGTCTCAGCCGGCAAGTGGGTCGTGCCGAACTCGGGCAGTACCGCGACGAGTTTGTGATGTTCGTGAGACCCAAAAGAACCAATAGTTATTGTGTTTGTGTTTCCGGGCATGTAAAGATTAATAGATTGTAATTAATTCCTATATATCAGAATAAACTAATCTAAGAATGTGTATTAGAAACAGTCGTATTTTATTTCCTACTTATTTTCAAAAATGGTTATTTCGAGTAATGACGGGACAATATGAACAAGGAATACATAACTGTGTTATCTTGGATTGAATCGCGACAATTTGTTGAATTGCTGGAGGATGTTTGTGTGAATGTGCCTGCCCTGCATAAATGTACTTAGGCTGAGTCCCATGCTGACCAACACAAGTGTAAAGCTGTATGATTGAGTAAAAATACCTTAACATAACGGTAATGCTCTCTTCTCTTACATACATGAGTGAAGTTACTGCATAGACATTTCATTAAAACACATGCAAGTTTTGGTTAAGCGCCTAATAAAAATGAGCTAGACCAGGGGTCGGCAACCAAAATAACAAGAAGAGCCATTTCTTTCCAATTCGGGACAAAATTCAGTATTTCAAGAGCCGCAATGCATCTGAGTACATACTGTACATACGTACATATCGTCAAGAAGCAGCCCGTAAAGAGCCGCATGCGGCTCCGGAGCCGTAGGTTGCCGACCCCTGAGCTAGACCATAACTCAGCGGCTTTTGGATAATCATCGAACAAAAACGGTCACTGCATCGCGCGCTTTCAGATTCACGTGTGCGGTCGTCTGGAGCGTTCTTCCTTCCAATATGAGGAAGGTACTGTGTGCTATGCATTTGCAAATCCCCATTGAAAAGTCACTTCAAAAGAAGTGCTTTTTGTTGTAAGTTTGCTGTCCTTCCCCCACATATCCGATTAGCACGGTTGGCTACATACAGTGTGAAAGAAGTTCAACACTACATTGTAGTGTCAGCCATTCAGAGACAAGGCACCTTCTTTATTCTAACATTCACGGTCTCGTCCACCCACTCTCCACAGTCGCTTAGCCGAGCCTGTATACAACACTAGCCATCTATCACTGACGTCGCTGACTGAGACAGCCAACAACTATCCTGCAGCGCAATATCTATCGAAGACGGCAGCGACGACGGCGACGAGACGACAGCATTGACGAGACGAGTCCACTCCCAGAACCGGCAGCCTCGAGCTCCTGCTCTCAGCTCCTTTTATTCTACCAGCGTGGCCTGGCCCCGCCCTGACCGTGCCTCCCTTCTCGAACCTCCTAGCAGGTGACCTTTGCCCCAGTTCCTCCAGTCTTCCAACACACCCGTGCACACACTCACCAGAATGTGTACTGGCTGTCCACCACAGTTGCCTCTTCTGTTCACCAACCAGCGCTATTACAATACATCACCCTACCCCCTACCTTGTAAAAAATATACAGCAACGCAACTGGATGGACAGGCATACCATTCCCACAACCGAGGAACATCAACATTCCCACAAAAAATACAACAAACAAACAAAAAAACATAGTCGTGACACTTCCCGCGAATCGACAATCAGAACAGCTGCTCTACCCAATCATGCTCGGCGCACGGCACAGGCAAAAAAAACATTCCTCCGATATTGGCCCACAAAGTCGAAGCTTCATCATTACCCTGATTGCAATATTTCACCACTTTCCTTGGCACATAATTGCCAACTGGAGGAATTGACCTGAGTAAATATTGACTGAAGATGTACCGCAACTGAGTTATGTTGACTGATAACACTTCACTCTGTCATACAACAACAAACAACAAGAAGCAACAACAACCACCAATAACCAACCACTTACCGGACACCTGAACTGGAACCCACAAAGTGGCAGAGCCGGGGGCACCTGCTAATGACTGAAAGTTTTGTGCAGTAGCTAATCGTTAGCGACTGCACTGCACGTGCCGTGATCTGTGCAAGGTGGTAGCTCCAACACACAAGCTCCACTAATTCAAGCGTTACACAGTTTAAAGGAACAGGTTTCAGATGTTCTTAGGTTTTTTCGGTAAAGTCACGTAGGTAAAACATTAAAATTAATAAAAGTAAAATAACATAAAAATCACGACGTTTCGGAGGCAACACAAGCTTCCGTCTTCAGGTGGAACCGATGGGCATTGTCCATCCAGCTCTAGACACACACACGCCCAGCAAACTTCCCCTGGGAATACTCTTCAGTTGATTGTCGTGCAGACTCAGACCAGTGAGCAGGGTCAGTTTGTCAAACACCCCAGCGGGTAGAGCCGTCAGTTTGTTTTCATACAAACTCAGAATAGTTAGTTGAGTCAGTTTATCAAAAATTCCGACAGGCAGAGCCGACAGTTGGTTTGTATATAAATACAGCTTCTGTAGATTCACCAGGTGGTCAAACACCCCCTCGGGAACGACCATCAACCGATTCTCAGACAAATACAAGATGTGGAAATTCGACAATATGTGCTTGGATTAGAGTTCACTACACCAAGGCTGTCTGTTATATTCCACGAGCATTTGTTTTCTTAACTAAATATTCGAGCCGTTATGAATAAATTAAGATAATGCGTAATATATAAATAGGTTTTTACTTATATGTTGCTGTTTCCTCCACTTTATTGCAATTGTAATACCAACGCCAGTTCATGATATGAAGGAACAACTGGTAACTTTCAACCATCCCAATGGGTAGAGCCGTCGCTGGTTCCCAAAAAAATATCTACTTGGTACAAATGGAATCATACGATGAAACATACACGTTCGTTAGATTTCGGGTGAAATTGCTTTACAGCAATGACTTTTAGTGAGTTCATACTCAGTGTAGCAAAGCAACTCACTTTCGTCAATAAAACTACATTTTATATGGATTTCGAAGTATTGCATCTATATACATTAAAATCTACAGGTGCATCAATATGCTTCCATTTCCCCATGCAGGTGCGATATCGGTTTGCTATGTTTAAGTCTTCGTAACTTGTCTAGTGACTTCATGATGACATCAGACGGAATATGTTGCCACACTTAGCCATTCTAAGTTATTTCTTTGGCGATGTTCCATGTTCAGCGGTTGGCCACAATGGACGAAACACGGGGAGCCGATGGCAAGGGCTGGAATTGCTGAGCTGGTGGCAAGTTCCTGAAATTCCTGCATTACGTAGAGTGTGATTATCAAAGAGTCTGTGTGTGAGGACACTCACGGACATAGACAAAGGTTCACTATGACCAATTGATCCATGATCCACCACAACCCTCTATGACCATGCATCGTGTACACGGACTGCAGTGATTGTGGGTAAAACCTGGACCTGTGGAATGGTCTACAGTTGTGATTGTGCAGCTCTACTCGGGTCATTTGGTTCAGTTTGAGAAGGACACCCATGGGCAGAGCTGTCAACCGGTTCGGCATACAACTTTAGTTCCTTTAAACTGAACAGGAGATCGAATCCGCCATGGAGTAAAGACTGGTTCTCACACAGGCTCAGGTCGATCAGATGCATCACACTGTCAACCACCTTTGCAAACAGCTATGGGAATTTCACATTCCTATGCCGGGAAGTAGTATATTCAAGTTATATTCTTGACCGTGTCTAGTATAATTCTCGAATATCTTAACCGGAAATTGGCATCACCTCAGTCGACTCACCCATAACTGAGCACTGTACCTGCTATCGTGTGTAGGCATTGGCACTGGGGAAACAACGCTTGTGTGAGAAGGAGAGGCTGACACTCCTCTGTCGGGAGCTGGACCGGTACCGCCTGGATCTCTGTGGTATTCAGGAGGTCCGGTGGACCGACTCTGGCTCCTGCAGGGAGGGTTTCCACACATCTGTCATTTTTATTTTATTTTTCTACCTACGTGACTTTACCGAAAGAACCAAAGAGTATGGATTCCTCCAGTCACGAAAGCTTCAAATCAATATTGAACAGCCTCTACCGGGAGGGTTTACACACATTTGTCATTTTTATTTAATTTTTCTATCTACGTGACTTTACAGAAATAACCAAAGAGTATGGATTCCTGTAGTCACGAAAGCGACAAATCAAGATTGAACAGCCTCTATGGGGATGGTTTCCACATGTCTGCTATTTTTATTTTATTTTTCTGCCTACGTGGCTTTACCGATAGAACCAAAGGGTATGAACACAAATCCGCTCACAAGCTTGATATGTGAATAAAATATAGCCAGTGCTCCTTATAGTCGTATTTACATGCACCCTGTTAAAGTCTCAGAAAACAGAGGAGAGCGAGTGTCTGAGGTTCCTGCGTAGTGAGGAACTCGTGTCTCTCCCTGCTGGGCTGTTTGGCGGCCTGGTGAATCTGAAGCAGCTGTATCTGGGGGCGAACCAGCTGGGGGCTCTACCTGTTGTGGTGTTTGACAAACTGACCTAGCTCACTCATCTGAACGTCAATCAACGGAGAGCGTTCACAGGGGCGTGTTTAAAAAACGTATCTGCCTCTACCAGTCTAAGCAGATCATGGCCTTGAATATAAATGCTGATTACCTTCACTACGCATATGAAATTAATGCACTGTTCACATGTTTGAATTAATAAAGCATATTCTTGAGCTAACAAATTCAAATTATCTTTTATATTGCAATGTAGATTGACTGCCATCGTAAAAAAGTTCTTTATAACGTCTGTTACCTTGTCTGGTAACCCGTAGGTGTTGAGAATCACCTCCCCGTGCATCTGTCAAAAGCCTTTTTTCCCAAAAGTATTTTAAAGGAACAAACCATTCAAGAACACGCAGAGGACAAGTATAGGAATTGACACCAGTAGAGACACAATGCGAAGTACAAAGATTGTTACTGTTTTTTTTTTACCTGTCTATGCAATGTTTCAATAAACTCTACATCCCCAATGTCTACTTCCCTAACTCGGATACCCCTCTAGAGAATGGACAGGGGTGGGGGTGGGGATGGGGGGAGGAGAAATCAAACTGGAGGGGGGGGGGGGGGGCTTGACAACCCTTTTACAAATATAAGTATTTAACCAATATTCGTGTTTCATGCGCAGTGACTCTTTATGGTTGGGGAAAGTCAATCAATCCTTTTTGTCACTTCATATTTCTTATTCATACGTCATGGCGAGCAGTATCCACGGATTGACATTTGTAACTGTGGGAAAGATGGAACGCTAATATTTTCAAACGCACTCCAAATTGACAGACTTCACCTGTAAATATTACCATTTGGATCACGATCTGATCTCAATAATAGCCCTAAGTAGGATAAATTGATGCGGCTTCAAGCGGAATCCCTCCAACAATAATTTTATCGCACTTGTTTGGTGTTTAGTTTATTATATGAGTGCGTATTGTAGCGACTGACTCAGAGACAATAAGAGTAGGAGGCCCTCTGTTTATTAACAGCCTTAACAGTTCACACTTTAGCAACTACGGTTCCCAGTCAAGACAGCTGGCAGACTGCCTGACTGGCGACGCCGAGATGGTGAAGACGGAGACGGTGGTGAAGACTCCTGCAGCACGACGGGATTCCAACTCCAAACGACAGCCCCGAGGTCCCCTCTCAGGGCCCCTCTTATACTGTTAGCGTGACCTGGCTCCGCCCCGGCCACGCCCCCCTTCTGGACCATGCTAGCAGGTTCTCGATGTGGCCCCTGCCGTAACCTTTCCCCTACATCACTCTCTCTCTCTTGTCTATCACGTGACCTGCTGTCAGTCAGGGTTGCTGTAGCTGCAGATCCCCTTCCCTGCCAACAACCAGCGCTATGCTGCTAAGGGGCCGTCCATAAATGACGTCACGCCATTTTAGAGGATTTTTGACCCCCCCCCCTTTGTCACACGACGTCACACGACGTCACAAAGCTCTGCCCCGCCCCCCCCTAAAAAACACATGCTTCAAATCGCGTTAAGCTATTGTCATTGTAGTGCGTAGTTAATTTGGCGCTGCACTGATGTTGTAGGAGAAAACATTTATTAAAAGTTTATTTCATCAAGTAGAACGTGTTGTCTATATTTATTTAAAGTTGCGCATTTTTACGTGATGTCAAATTTCTCAACCCCCCCCCCCCCTTTGTCACACATCGTCACAAATGTCTGGCCCTCCCCCCCTAGGTGCGTGACGTCATTTATGGACGGCCTCTAAGTGAACGATTCTATGTCACTGCACATGTAACAACATTTCGCTTGATTATTAATTATTTTATTACCTGCAATGATGTAGTTTACATTGACAATCTTGAGGCTATTCATAGTATAATTTAAGTTGTAACAATGTGTTATTAGCACAACATCTTTTCCGTATTCAAGGTTTTAGCAACATCTAAAAGGAGACTAAAACAATGCAAATAAAACAATACAAACGAGAGCAGGTTGGAGTGTCTTTGTAAACCTGAACTTCACAATGAAACAATTCATTCCAATGTGCCTACAACAAGACACGTTGATCCGTGTGAACCACCTCCGATAGCAGATGGTTCAGAAGCACAACCGAGAAGTGCGCACAGAAGCACTCCGAGTTACATACTTGGAATGACATTGAGAGACAGAGTAACACGTGGATCAGAGAAAACACTTTAGCAAGTTACATCAAACCGATAAAGGTAAGCAGGCTTGGCCAGGCTATGGCACGAGAAGAGATGATGGATTAATCCACGATGGCCAATGCACATTGACCATGGTCGATAACAATAGCGGGGTGGCATTCAAGGTAGGGAACGCGCCCTGAAGTACGGATACCATGGAGATGGAGTAATGACAGTAAGCTCGTGCGCAGGTGCGAAGTTGTTTAATACATCGCATGGTTGTGACTACGGATTGTAGAGACCTTCATCCAGTAGTGGGATGATCATGGCGAGCATATTGGAATACAGATCTCTATTTTCAAGGGATACATCATGATCTTAATACATCATGAATAAATAATTACACTTATGATCCAAACCAATTACAGTAATTAAAATAAAGAAACAAATAGATTTCACAACAAAACTCCGAAACAATCAATTTATACCATTCATTTATAAATGCACTAAGCACTCAACATGTTTTGTGAACAATCTTTGCAGGGAAGTCTTCAGTAAGAGGCAACTCGAATAAAGGTTGGATCACACGCGACGCCGCTCACGTGTAAGGGGAGGCAGTTATGAGCCGCCTCTAAACTGTCGCCCGTCCCTCGCAGTGTTCGTGCTCAGGGACAACTGTGAACTGTGCAGAGAAAAGACTCGTGTCTGTGCCTGCGGGAATCCCCACCACCACGCGAGATCTGTATTTTTACACAAATCAGATCACGAAGCTCGAGCCCGGCGTGTTTGACAGTCTGACGGCAATGGTGGATGCACGAGACCCTGAGGCTCCTGCTATTGCCACGGCGATAGTGATTCGTTACGAATAATTACAACAAAACAAAGATCTCCCATATAGACTCATCACACTTTTGGGGCAAGTGCTGTGAGCCAGCATCTATGAAGACCAGCACGGTAGACGAGGGGGTGGGTAGCCAGCATCACGCTCCGCCACATTCGCCTCCCGAGTGGCGATGTTTACACACCACACCAGGTAACGCTTTGAGGCTGAGCCATGCAATTGCAGGGCTGCACCTTATTCTGTTAATTTATTACTCCTCGCTGGAGAGATTGACAACTGACGCGGGGCATTGAGCGCCGCCAGTGCAATCTCTTCAACCGGTTTAGGTCCAGACCGACATGAGTCAGTGTCGACAACTTCTCTGCGCATGCGGTAAACTCCGTAAATTTGTTACCACCGAGGAAAAGCTACCGTAGACTCACCAGCGGGGTCAGGTGCTGTATTCATTGGGTCTGAATGTGTTCCTGAAACCACAGCCTAAGTCGACTCCACGACGCCTTGTGTAACTTGACAAATAACTTGCTGATACCGCCTTGACAAACAGTGGTACACAAGCACAGGTAACAAAACAAACTCAACACCGTTCCTGGCAGTGCTGGTTCCGCTTGTAAAACGCGCCCCTGGGAATGCTCTTCAGCTGGTTGGTGTCCAGAACCAGATGAGTGAGCTGGGTCAGTTTGTCAAACACCCCCGCGGGGAAAGACGCGAGTTCTTCACTGAGCAGAAACCATTAACCATAGGCACTCACCTACTTAGTATGAAATGTATATTAATCAATACGTAGATACGTAATTAAAAAGAGGCATGATCAATCCACTGCAAGCCATCGTCACGACCATGCGATGTTTTAATACACCTAGCACCTGCACACGAGCTGCTGTCATTACTCCATCTCCATGGTGGATGTCCTTCAGGGGCGCGTTATCTCCCTTGCCTGATACTCCGCTATAGTCATGGACAATTGTCCATGAGCATTGGGAATCCATTCGCATTGATGCCTCTCACATCCTGATTCGGTTTCACAGAGATGTATTTACTCAAGCAAACTCAATTGCTGTTCACAAAGATCTGTTATCCAGAGAAAACACTTCCCTGTTATTTTATCTGACAGATATTTACAATCATAAACATCTATCAGGTAAAATTTTCTCAATTTAGATTGTCAGAATTATCCTTTTTAAAGGCACATATATTTAAATAAACGATGTCCAAAAAACAATGTAATGTCATCTTACGTGTAAATATTGTAGGGGTGTCAGGGGAAGGATTCCCACCAATAGGAGGGTTAGTGTGACGGTGACAGGAGAAGGGGAAGGGGTATTCAAGGAGACATAAGGGGAGAACGGGTGGGAAGAGGGGAGCTTTGGCGGGAACGAGATTGAGATGGCTGGGGACAGGTGGGGATGGGAGAAGAGGACTAAAGGACAAACCCCCTGCAACCTTGTGTCGGCTCCCCTTTACATCTGGTGGCAGCTGTGGGATTCACATTGGCTACTCGGAAGAATTCCCACGGAAGGGAGCCAACAGAAGAGGAAACAGGGGCCGGGGATCCTCTACGTGCAGGGCTACCAGGAGCAGCAGCAGGGGGCCCGTACCCCATGGAGGACCCCATGCAGGACCGCATGGCCCACGTGGAGAGGGCATTCCAGGAGCTACTGCAGCAGCTCCCTATGGGGGGCCCGCCGGCACCGGGACCCCCACTCCCACACGTACCACGGAGGAGGGGCCCCGGGACCCGGAGGCCGACCAGCCAGCCGGGCGGGAGCCACAACCAGCCTCATCACGCCAGCCACCGCCGCTGCTCCTGCCAAAACCACCAGGGCTAACCACCCAACGCGGGGAGCAGGTGGCAGGACGGGTGCACCGGCTCGGGCCCGTCGAGAAATTCGTGGCCGAAGGAGGGGATTGGGAGGCGTTTGTTCGCCGATTCGAGGCTGCCTTCCACGCTCTCGAGTGGTCAGATGAAGAGGTACTACGAGCGTTGCCATCTGTTCTGGACGACGATGCGCTCGCCTCTTACAACTCCCTTCCCTCACACAGCAAGATCACGCTACAGGCAGCCTACGAGGCGTTGGGGGAGATCTATTGCCCAGATGAGGGCGCCTTAAGACGGTTCCAGGACCGTCAGCGGGGGGCTAGAGAGTCCCCTTTAGCCTACAGGGGTGCACTGCTCGTGTTGGCTAGGAGGGCTTTCCCTCGCCTGGCTGACGAGGCGCTCGAGAACCTCGTGGTCGAGCACCTCATCGCCTACGCTTGCCGTGCCGGCGTTGTATTGCGCGTGGTGACGCCGGAGGAATGCACCTCGCTGTGGGCTGCCTGGATCCTGCAAGCCCATTAACAGGTCATGGGCCGGGCGCTACCCGTAGGCCAGGTGGTTGGCGCGGCGGGGGGGCGCAGCCGAGCCGTTACCGCGGCGCTACTGGGACCAGCGACACCAACCGCCGAACCTGCACCATCGCCGTAGGCTGCCTGGGGAGCAGCTGGGAATGGTCCCCCGACGTCTGAGCCGGAGCCATTGCTGCAGGAGGTCTACGCAGCAATCTGGGGACTGGCGGAGCAAAGAGACCAGGGGCGCGACCAGCCACCGCGCCACTGGCAGCTGCCTCTACAAACCGCGCCGAGCCACCCCGACGAAACACCCCATTCTGCCACTATTGTGGTCGAGAGGGGCATGTGGCGTGGGGGTGCCGCACAGAGCCGGAGGCAGTCAAAACCACCTGGAACCCCCCGCGGCCGAACGCCAACAGTAACCAGGCGAGTGATGCCGTCCTGCCCGGCCTCTCGGTCGGGCGGAAAAAATACACTCCCGACGCCGCGACCTCATCAGGATCCTCCTCGGGGTGGGCGCCGTCAGTGTCGGGCCCCGGGCTCCACTGTCCTGGTCGGTGGAAGGGGACCATGCCGTGGCCAGAGATCGCGTCGCGGCCTGCAATCGCATCGCGACCGGAAGTGGAACTGCGCCGGGGATCGCGCCGAGGCCGGGGACCGCGCCGGGGATCGCGCCGGGGCCGGGGACCGCGCCGGGGCCGGAAGTGGCGTCGCGGACGGACATGACGTCACGGCCGGAAGTGGTGTCGCGAACGGAAGTAGCGTCACGGCCGAAATTGATATCGAGGATGAAAGTGGCATCGCGTACGGAAGTAGCATCATGGCCGGAAGTGACGTCGTGGCCGGGGTTGGCGGTGCGGATGGGCGTGACGTCACAACCAGAAGTAACGTCACTATTTACCTTCGATGCCGGCGAGTCGCAGGTAGCACACACAATTGCCAGTGCGCCATGGAGCAGTTCCACGCAGCGCCTCACCATCGCTTTGTGGCGGAGAGAGACAGGGACCAGGGGGGCCACACCATAAAGGGGGCCAACGCCCCTTGACACAGGACGGAGAGGGGAGAAGGGATGGGCTCACGAAAAGGCCCACCCCCCAATCCCCACCTCCCACTACAAGGGGGGGCCGCCCATCACCACAATGGGGGCCTATCCTACGTCACCAAGGGGGAGCAATTCGCACCACATGGAGAGCCCAGCCTGCACCCAAGGGGGGAGCCCACACCATGTAACAAGGGCGCATTCACCCTGCTGCGACACACTCCAAAGGGGGGAACCCCATCTTCGGCCCGTTCACATCCATCCCCCGTCATCTCACCATGCACTGCAGGATAGTGAGCCGCCTGGTCAGTGGCCGGACTCAGCCACACAATGGAGGAAGCTGGCAAGGCGGGTGGTAGCGGCCACGTCTGGAACCTCGGTCCTGGTTGGTTGATACAGGTGCATTGGCCACAATCATCTCGAGCACCATGCATGAGATGTTGCCGGAGAAAAACCGGCCTTTAGTCCCCATTAATACGATGTTCATTGCAGCAAATGGAGGCAGCATGGGCTTCCTGGGCCAGGTTGAAGCCCCCATACAGATTGGGCAGCTTTCGGTAGCAGGACCCATCCTTGTCTCCACAATGTTGCCCGTATCCTGCCTGAGGCGGATGCCAATGAAAATCGATCTGACCAATGGGCGGGTAGAAGTCCAGGGAACTCATCTCCATTTCCTAAAGGTGGAGGGGGCCGGCCGGGGGGTACCCTACGTTCAGGCTCTGGTCAGTGAGTCTGTCTCCATTCCTGTCTCCATTCCCCCGGCAGCCCAGATGCTGATTCTGCTGCGATATCGGTCCTCCTTCATGACTGCCCGGCCAGACTCACCCATCCTGGTGACTCCGGCGTCAGCTGCCACAGATCGCCACGCAGTGGTGGGGGCCGAAACCATTGTCCAGAGGAACCAGCATCTGTTCATTCAGATGCTGAACACCTCCAACAGACAGCTACGGTGCAGGCGGGAACGGTTCTGGCCCACGTTAGTCCCTTGTCACTAGGAGCCCCCGGGATGGAGCCTGAACTTGTAGGAAGCATCAGCCAGTCTGAGGACAGGGGGGTCGACTCGTGGATGGACCAGCTGGCGGGGCCTGAGCCGGGATTGCCGCCCGACCAGAAACACCAGCTGCACTCGTTATTGCATGAGTCCTTGGACGTGTTCAGCTGGGGACCGTTCGACCTAGGACACACAAATCTGTTGCAGCACCGCATCAACATGGGAGACGCTGCACCCCTGCGCCAAAACACATATAGAATGAGCCCAATGGAAAAAGGGCACATCCAACAAGCAGTGCAGGAGATGCTGCGGTCCGACATAATTTCTCCATCCTCGAGTCCCTGGGGGGCACCAGTGGTCCTAGTCAAGAAGTCAGATGGGTCACTGAGATTCTGCATGGACTTCCGACACCTCAATGCCGTTACACTTGCCGACGCATATCCCCCACGACGTATTGACGACTCACTTGATGCATTGTCCGGGTTCTGGCAGGTCCCACTAGATGCGAACTCCCAGCCTAAAACAGCGTTCCGGACACCACAGGGCCTGTTCGAGTTCAACTGTCTGCCTATGGGCCTCCAGACTGCACCGGCGACGTTCCAATGCTTAATGGAGTTGTCCTTAGCAGGCCTCTAATGGCAAACGTGCCTCATCTACCTGGACGATGTCATTGGCTTCAGCCGATCATTCGAGGAACACATTGACCGATTACGTTAGGTATTCCTGCGGTTCCGGAACACGAACTTGAAGTTTAAGCCGTCGAAGTGCCACCTTATGCAGTCGTCGGTACGCTACTTGGGCCACGTCGTCAGTGAGTCTGGAGTGGCTACAGACCCGGAAAAGACGGCCTGCGTGAGGGCCTGGGCTGTTCCCACAACAGTTCCAGAGGTACGCAGGTTTGTGGGTTTCGTGTCCTACTACCGCCGGTTTGTACCCAACTTCTCAACCATTGCGAAGCCCTTGCACGTGTTGACGGTGAAGTACCAGAGGTTTTATTGGGGCCCTCTGGAGGAAGAGGCATTCCAGCAGCTGCGCTCGCGTCTGACAGATGCACCACCATTGGTCTTTTGGATTTTGGCCTCCCCTTTATCCTGGACAAGGACGCCAACGATGTGGGCATCAGCAGTGTCTTGTCGTAAGTCCAGCAGGGTCGGGAGGTGGTTATCGCCTACGGTAGTTGCGTGTTTTCATCAGCTGAGCAGCGCTGGTAGTCGTGGGATTGTGGGTCGCATAATTGCTACAATAAAAATAGGGGATATACGTATGGATGGCCCTGTGTTGATTTCCACGACTTTGTCCATGCTGTACTTATTGGGTGGGGATTTCTTGCGCAGGTTGCCCCTTAACATTCATCTGGATAAGGGCTGTATTGAGATGCCATCGGGGCAGCGTCTAAAATTATTGACAACACCTACGAAGTATACTGCGATCAATGCTGTTGTGCAGGCTATGGTTAGCCGCACGGTACGTGTTCCACCAGCCACGCAGATGCTTGTGCCATTAAGGCTGCATAAACAATTGCCCTTGGTGAACCCGGCGGAGGGAGTCTTATTGACCCCCTCGAATGCGGTGTCACAGACACCCTCTTTGGTGGAGGCATTGACTGTGGTGTCAGCAAATAGCGACCAATTTATTCAAGTTGTCAGTGTTGATTCGATGCATCACAATCTCTGTGGGACTGTAACGTGTGTAGCCACCACCAGTCGCGCCCCTAGAAACGCTCTGCAGCTGGATCATGTGCAGAGCCAACCACTGCAGATGTTGCCCGTCCAACGCAGTGTCCATGCCCAGGGACACCTGCATGTGGAGAAGCCTCGCGTCTGTGCCTGCCGGAATCTCCACCAACATGCAACCTCTGCGGTTGTACAGCAATCAGATGACAGAGCTCGGGAATCTGCAGCGGTTGGCTTTGAACAGCAATCAGTTGACGTCTCCCCGCTGGAGTGTTTGACAAACTTACCCAGCTCACATATCTCACTCTGCACACCAACCAGCTGAAGAGCATTCCCAGGGGCGTTAGAGAGTCTCACGAGGTTATAATGCAATTAATTAATCCATCATCAGCAAATATCTCAGCGTAGAGAGACAGACGCCAAAAATAAACGATCGTAAATAGCAATCACAAGCTGTTGTGTTTAACAAATGTTACACTGAGAAAATTCTCAAGAATAAAGTGGCAAAGTTGAATAATTTGGAGCCATTCCTGTAATAATAACAATAGTGCTGCTTACATAACGGATGTCAGCAATGATGTCAGTAAAAACTACATTTTTACTGCTTGAACAGAAATTCTACACAATGCATCGATTATCTTCTAAATAAATCAGCTATCATGTACAGCACTTCAGTGATAACAACGCTGGTGATATTGAATCTACATCTCCTATAGATATACAAACTCAAATCTACATTTCACCAGACGAGATACTTTTGAAATCCATTTCTTTTATTGGAGACCTTGTAAGAAAAACATGCAAATGAATAACCATCAATCAATGTATAATGAACGAACCAATATAACCACTTAAACACGTCAACACTAAGCACTGTAAAAAAATGTTGGATAAGAACATTGTTACGAAGAGATTCAGGAAGAGGAAACTCGTGTCAATGTTGGACAACACACGACGCCGCTCGCGTGCAAGGGGAGGCCGTTGTGAGTCGCCTCTAAACCGTCGCCCGTCCCTCGCAGTGTTCGTGCTCAGGGACAACTGTGGACTGCCGGAACAAACGCTTATCGTCTGTGCCTGCGGGAATCCCCACCGAAAGGCAGAACTTGTGGTTGAATGGCAATCAGATCACGAAGCTCGAGCCCGGCGTGTTTGACAGTCTGACGGCACTGGTGGAGGCACGAGACCCTGAGGCTCCTGCTATTGCGACGGCGATAGTGATTCGTTACGAATAATTACAACAAAACAAAGATCCCCCATATAGACTCATCACACTTTTGGGGCAAGTGCTGTGAGCCAGCATCTATGAAGACCAGCACGGTAGACGAGGAGGTGGGTAGCCAGCATCACGCTCCGCCACATTCGCCTCCCGAGTGGCGATGATCTCTCCGTGGTCGCGTCGAGTTTTTTTCTCCAGGTCCTCGGGTTTTTGTCCCTCCACATTTAAAAACACACGTTTAGATTAATTAGTTGCTATACATTTCCACATAAGCAACTTCGTTAAGCTCTTATTTGTGGCCAGGTTGCTTCGGAAAAAAGAGTTACATAGCTCATTGAGTTTTACCTATAAAAAGAATTTGCGTATGAAAAAGATTGAGTAAAAAAACAGAAACATTCGAATTTTACGTCCAACAGGTAAATCTAGTCTGTTATATCTGTTGTGCGGGCCTGAATCCGATGTCTTTGAGTATCACAACGCCGCTACAACTCCACTGTCCAATCTCGACAGCCGTCCCACTCACCACGGTGATTCAGTGCCAGGCACCCGAGCCACTGTCTGTTCGCATGAATCATGTCTGTCCCGTATTTTTATTCCGTGCTGTATGTACCGCCTGTATCATGTGAAAAGACTGTCCTGAACACCGTGCGGGTCGCTGTACTGCACCGCACAGACCATGAGCACGGCATGGAGCGAGGTGCCGAGATGTGAGGTGAACACGACGCCGCTTACGCGACTTAGGGACCCGTGTTGATCTCCACTGCCGTGTGAAGAGCGACGCTTTCTTGTAAAGGCTGCTCTACAGCAAGAAACGGAGGCTGCTGATCTTCGATTCGTGCTCAGTGATCAACTAACAGCTCTCCCCCCTGGAGTGTTTCGCTCAGTGGAATGAATTCCAAAATGCGCTTGTCCAATGCAGCCTCTTCGAGTCCCGAGACTCTGTCTTCAGTAGAATGCTACTACAATGGGATGTGTGGCAAATTTTTGTTTGAGGAGAGTTTTGCGTTTGTGTTATTGCTCTTGTTGTACTGTTCTGTGGTGTTGGATGGTTGTTTTGTTAGGGTGTTGTTTTTTCATGTATTGTGTGGATGTTGTGCTATTTTATGACGTTGTTCTGTTGTTTCTGCACTGACCAAGTCCGCACATCACGCGTGAGTTTCTAAAAACGCTTAATATCACCTCTAATTATTCACACAATTCACTCCATACAATGTTCACTGATGCGCACCTCACTGCTCAGTGACACTGCAGATTAACTCGTAGCACAAGAGGGCACCTTGACGAGGATGATGCTAACGATGACCGTGGAAGTCAATAACGTGGTAGCTTTGGAAACTGAACGCTACTCGTGCTGAGCGTCGTCTCTTTTCCGGTGCCCAGAAATATAGCAGCGACCGTTCATGGCAGCGCTGGCTCCGTTTGTCAAACGCGCCCCTGGGAACGCTCTTCAGCTGGTTGTTGTACAGAACCAAATGAGTGAGTTGGGTCAGTTTGTCAAACACCCCAGCGGGGAGAGACGCGAGTTCCTCATTGCGCAGAAACCTCAGACACTCGCTGTCCACTATTTTATGACTATTGCTGCGTCAATGTAACAACGACTACAAACAGCGTTGGTTGCATTTTACTCACCGATCAAGCTTGTGAACGGCTTGGTGTTGTTCGAAACATCAAATGCATCATTCCAAGCCCTTTGTCTATCCACTGCTGGTCTGATTTCAAATATGGTGGCCGTTATACTGATATTGGTTGGAGCGTCATCATTACTGTTGTTGCAACATTTTGACAATTTCTTCGCAAGGCAGATGTGGAAATTCCACACTCCTATGTCGGGAGCCAGTACATTCAAGATCGATTAATGAACCGACCACGGGCCATCCCTGCCATAAACCATCACTGATTCGACTGATCCCAAGCCGTATCGATGTCCGTTGTGTCTACTCCTCACCTGTTTGATGTCACGCTCTGCCAAGTCAGCGCAGATGCTATCTCACGTCAAGCTGGGCACGCGTGACTTGTATTGCAGTGTTAACAGAATGCAGTGTAAAGTAATCGCTGGGAGGGTTCTCTATGGAATACATTTTATCTTGGTTATGTATGCTTGACTTATTTCGCCTTTGATTCTTCTGGACGACCCTCGGTCCAATACTTCATAATTATTATTTGGTTTATTTTTATCCAAGATTTCATTCTTTGGTTCTTTCGGTCAAGTCGTGTAGATGGAAGGATAATAATAATAATATTTAATGTGAATAACATTAGTATTAAAATAATGAATGAGAAATAATAATAACTAATGTAGATTTTAGCCTGGTTTTAATCGGAGTGAGTGTGTGGGTCTATGGTGTTCACTTATTCTTGTCGCTATGTTTTGAACTTTTCCCTTAACTAAAATAGCCTACAAAAACGTGTCTGTTTGGTTTTCGCTGCCCTGGACAAGCTGGCCGCCTGTTTGGTGGTGGTCATTGAAGTTGTCATGAGATCTCCCCAGAATCTCATTAGAGAACTCCCGACATCTTCTCTTTGGTTCTGTTTTTTTTTAATTACCATTTTATGGTTTACTGTACCTCCGGCTCTCTGGTCCCGAGTGACAAAGGCGGCTGCTCGTGAGGGGGGTGAGGGTGGTTGTTACATTTTTGTTTGTGCCTCATGCTACATCCCGATTGATTATTAAGGAAAAAATATTGGCAGAATTACTCTTAATATTGATAATGGAAAAAGGCCTATATATACAACATGTTATCATAGCAGGTACCACCACAGTCAGTATACACTGCTGTAATCATAGCAGGTACCACCACAGTCAGTATGCACTGCTGTAATCATAGCAGGTACCACCACAGTCAGTATACACTGCTGTAATCATAGCAGGTACCACCACAGTCAGTATGCACTGCTGTAATCACAGCAGGTACCACCACAGTCAGTATGTACTGCTGTAATCATAGCAGGTACCACAACAGTCAGTATACACTGCTGTAATCATAGCAGGTACCACCACAGTCAGTATACACTGCTGTAATCATAGCAGGTACCACCACAGTCAGTATGTACTGCTGTAATCATAGCAGGTACCACCACAGTCAGTATGTACTGCTGTAATCATAGCAGGTACCACCACAGTCAGTATACACTGCTGTAATCATAGCAGGTACCACCACAGTCAGTATACACTGCTGTAATCATACCAGGTACCACCACAGTCAGTATGCACTGCTGTAATCATAGCAGGTACCACCACAGTCAGTATGTACTGCTGTAATCATAGCAGGTACCACCACAGTGTGTACTGCTGTAATCATAGCAGGTACCACCACAGTCAGTATGCACTGCTGTAATCATAGCAGGTACCACCACAGACAGTATGCACTGCTGTAATCATAGCAGGTACCACCACAGTCAGTATGTACTGCTGTAATCATAGCAGGTACCACCACAGTCAGTATGCACTGCTGTAATCACAGCAGGTAACACCACAGTCAGTATGCACTGCTGCTATCATAGCAGGTACTACCACAGTCGCTATGCACTACTCTAGTGATAGCAGCTGCCACCACAGCCGGTATGCACTGCTTTAGTGCTGGCAGGTCCCACCACAGTCGGTATGCCACCACAGATACCACCCTGATGGCGTTCTTTGTTTCGTGCCAAAGTTACCCATTTGCTACCAACCTGCTCCACCATTAAGTTCCCTCTTACTATACATGGACTGCTAAAAAAAATGGAAGAGACGTGCTGCTAACGGTGAATCTGATGCCTTACGAAGACTCTACACAGTTAATTCCAATAAACAGGAGTGCTACTTTCTCCGAATGCTTCTCAGTCTTGTCAAAGGGCCCAAATCTTTCCAAGACCTCAAAACAGTGAAGGGGTTGTCTGTCAAACATACAGAGAAGCTTGCAATTTTCGTAGAATTCTTGATGATGATCAGCATCTTGATTAAGCTATGATAGAAGTGTCTGTTAGTCCCCTTCCCAACTGATATTGCTCTTATGCATACATCTTCAAGTTTGCAGCCCATCTAACCCCATGGGACTCTGCCAAAAATACAAAGAGGCCATGAGTGAGGACATCCTCCACAGAGCTCAACGAGAAAATTCAAACCTCGACGTCAACTTTTCTGATGCCATCTTCAACCAGGCCCTCATTCTCCTTGAGGACAAACTAAACTCCATTGGTGGAAAAGACCTCATGTCTATGGGACTACCAACAGCCTACGGCAGGGTCGGCAACCAAATTAACAAGAAGAGCCATTTCTTTCCAATTCGGTACAAAATTCAGTATTTCAAGAGCCGCAATGCATCTGAGTACATACTGTACATACGTACATATCGTCAAGAAGCAGCCCGTAAAGAGCCGCATGCAGCTCCGGAGCCGTAGGTTGCCGACCCCTGGCCTACGGGGACAACCTGCATGCCCTTGCTCAACAGATCCTACGTGAAATATCATACGATGGATTACAGCTTCTTAAATGTATTGAGAAAATTTTACCACAGCTGATGGATGCACAAAGAGAAGCCTACGCGAAATTTTGGAAGACATTAATACTAAAAAGAGTCATTTCTTTCCTCGAAGCACTTTTGCGGTACTGAAAACACTTTTTTTCTAAATTTAAAGTTATCGTGATTGCAAGGATCTATACTCTTTGGTTCTTTCGGTAAAGTCACGTAGGTATAAAATAAATTAATTAAATAAATCACGACGTTTTGGGCGCAACACAAGCGTCCGTCATCAGGTGGGAACAACCACAGCAAGACTTTCCTGAAAAAACCAAAGAGTATGAACACCTTTGTTCTCAACCTGCTCCTCGCTAAAGTTTGCCAGAGGGAGAAAATTGCTCGAGCTGTGGCATCATCGGGAATTGGTGTCTAAGTCAATGTGTGTGTGAGTCGATGTGTGTGTTTGAGTCCATATGTGTGTGCGTGTAGGTTTACGTGTATGTGGGTCAATATCTGTGTGTGGGTGTAAGTCTATGTGTGTGTGTCTTTTTTGCCCAGGCAACGCCAGGTACTTCCCGCTAGTTAAATATAAAATAGTCTCTGAGTGATACATGTGTCTATGACGCACGCGTGGGGTTCATCATCAGTCACTGTTACGCGGCTTCTGTGATTGGCGCAAGTCGACCCCAGCCATCTTTCTGTACAACAACCCATGGAACTGCGCCTGTTCACGCAGCCTGCGTCTCAGCTGGTGAGTGACTCGAGCCGAACTCGGGCAACGTCGCCTCGATTGGTGACACCCAATGCCCTCACTCGTTCAGTATCGTGAAGAGATGGTGATGATCATGAGGATGATTCATAATAATTATATGTTAAATGCAATACTCCTCAAGTTATCGTCCAACATTCCAAATAAAATTAATCTGAATCTCTTGAACTAAACTTTACTAATGCAGGCAGTGATTAGTAAACTCTGTTTTGATTTCGAATTTGGTGGCCATTACACTGACACTGGTCCCCAGGGTTCTAGCTTCGTCATTACTCTTCTTGCAATGTCCCGGAACTGTCGTCAGCACACAATGGCCAACTCGAACAATTGACCTGAGTAAATATTTAACCAAGCTGTACTGTAAACGGTGCACTTTGACTGATAGTGCTTCACTCTGCCATTAAGAACAGCAACCTACAATAACCAACAACAACAATAAACAATAACCAACCACCAACCCGACACCTGAACTGGAATCGACAAAGTGGCCTGGCGGGTCACACCTGCTGGTGGATACAAGTTTTGTGCAGTAGCCGATCGTTAGCGACTGCACTGCACAAACCGTGGTCCGTGCAAGGGGATAACTCCCACACACATCCTCTACCCATTCATGCGTCAAGCAGTGCAGAAGAAGAGGTTTCAGATAGGCATTATACATCCAGCTCTAGAGACGCACATGCCCAGCAAACTTCCCCTGGGAATGCACTTCAGATGATTGTCTCGCAGACTCAGACCAGTGAGCAGGGTCAGTTTGTCAAACACCCCAGCGGGTAGAGCCGTCAGTTTGTTTTCATACAAACTCAGAATAGTTAGTTGTGTCAGTTTGTCAAACACCCCGGCAGGGAGAGCCGACAGTTGGTTCGCGCTCAAATACAGCTTTTGCAGACTCATGAGGCGGTCAAACACCCCCTGGGGAAAGACCAACAGCCACTTCCCAGACAAATATAAAATGTGGAAATGTACCAGCATATGCCTGGCTTGGGGTTCTATATATCTCAACTTCTGGTGCCATTTCGGCTCCCGCCTTGTTCGAATTTGGCGCCATTTCCCCAACGGGTGCACCACGGGAGTTGGGCGCCAGTTTGGCCACGACGCAGCCATCGAACGCCATTACCACTGCGACTCCGCAAACCGCTGCCATTGACGCTGCGACTCCGCACATCGCCGCCGGTGCCCCTGCGACTTTGCACACTGCTGCTGTTGCCGCCGGGACTTTGCACACTGCCGCTGTTGCCGCCACAACTCCGCACACCGCCGCTGTTGGCGCCGCGACTCCGCAGCCGGGCGCTGGAGCTGATGCAGCTCAGCAACCCGGCGTCGCTGCTGCTTCCATTGTGACGCCGTCGGATGGGCCCATGTTCATGTCGGGCGGCCAGCAGCTACGTCGGTTGCCACCAGTCCGCCCATTCATCGCTGCTTCGATGCGGCATACGCATCAGTGGGTTGGCCAATGGAAGAGGCTCTGCAGGCACTCCCTACATGCCTGGATGACAGGAAACCGCTGGCACTCCGGCGGATAGGGCGTCGCTTCTGGCGGCAACCTAACAGATGGCTGCGGTGTTCGAACCACCGTCGAACGCGCGCCTGAAATTTTTGCTGCGGCAGCGGGAGGAGGGGGAGCCACCATTTGCCTTCTGCTTCTCCCTGCTGGTGCTGGCACAGGCTGCCTACCCCGGCCTGGAAGGCAAGGCACTGGACTCGCTAGCCTTGGAACGATTGCTCTCCCTGGTGTGTGAGCTCGGGATCACTTTGTCCATCGCCGAGGAACGCCAAATTACATCACTAAAGGTGGCACAAAACATGCAGGCTCACCTCGCCTTGCGACAGTCGCCCGGTGTGGTGGCATGAGCGGGGGTCCCAGTGCTTGCGGGGGTGGCCGCACCTCATGGGGAGGACTCCCTCGTGGCCCTGGTGGTGGCCGATAGCCGCGGGAGGGGTGCCGGAGATCGCCGGCCGGAGCAGCAATGGTGGGCAGGACCTCCTCGCCCCTAAGGCTCTGCAAACGTGGCCTCCTTCCGATATGGTAAGCAGGGCCACATCGAGCGGGGCTGCCGCAACGCTCCCGGGTCCTTCAACAAGGCCTCTCCGCCTTTCCTCGGCTCTACGTCAGCATCGGCTACTGAGTCCCAGGCGGGTCGCGACGCATCAATAACACGGCCGCTCCCCTTACCTCACGCATCTAGCAGGGTTGGGGTCCATCATCGCAGGGTCATCGCTGGGGGGTTGGGTTCATCCTCTGCACGCTCGTTGCCATCCGCCGGGTGGCCTAGGCAGATCCGCCAATGGGATGCGCTCGCGTATCGAGTTGTGGCGGCCGCTGCCGGGTCCTCGGCGGTGGTTGGGTACGTGCAGGGGGTCTAAATGCGGGTTTTGGTGGACACAGGGGCGTCCGCCACTATTATATCCGAGTGCATTTTTCAGTTGTTGCTACACAACGTTGGTCTGTTACGGCCGATTCAAGGGGGTTGTGTTGCTGCAAATGGCGACAGTTTTGGTATTTTGGGCACATTGTGGCATCGGTCAGGAATGGCAAAATCTATTTGGTGGGGCCCATTCAAGTTTCCAGGACCTTGGCAGTGCCATTCCTCTTGGGAACTGACTTCTTGGCCAAGATGCCCATTTGCATTCTCGTGGACAAGGGTTGTGTGGAAATGCTGTTGGGGCATCAGTTACACTTCCTCCAGTCTCCCACTATTTTGTCCCCCCTGGCCACCAGTCTACGGGCCTTAAATAAGGCGTCCGTGACCGTTCCACCGGGGTTACAAATCCTGCTACCCCTCAGGCTGTGCAGACCCCTGAAATTGGACTCACCAGAGATGGGCTTCCTTTTGTCTCCCTTTAATTACTTTACAAGAACACCCGGGTTGTTACGAGCCTTAACGGCCGTGTTGGAGGGCCAGGACCTCTTTTTGCAGGTCCTTAATTCGGGGCCCTCGCTGATTGTGGTTCTGGCCGGCGCCATTTTGGCACACGCAACCCCGGGCCCTCCACCGGCTGGAGGGGTTGTGGCGAGCGTGATGCACGAGGGGAAGACTGACGCATCGTGGATCAATGCGCTGTGTAATGAGAAAGTCTGGTTATCCTCCGAGGAGTGCCAGCAGCTCAGCAAACTAATCGAGAAGTTTAGTCAGAGTAAATTCAATTTTGGTCGCACCACTCTTTTGGAACATCACATAGACACCTATTCGGCTAAATTCACACCGCTTCAGCCCGGCAGAAAAAGAGCATGTCCGCTTGGCCGTCGACGAGATGTTGGCAGTGGACATTATCTCCCCATCCACTAGCTCTTGGGGTGCCCCCATTGCGCTAGTCAAGAAACGGGACGGGAGTCTCTGGTTCTGCATCGATTTCTGTAAATTAAGCAAGATCTCGGTGGCTGCTGCATATCCATTGCCTCGCATGGATGATTCCCTGGATGCCCTCTCAGGTGCGCAGTTCTTTTTGACCCTAGACTTGCTCTCAGGCTTCTGGAAATTGCCACTAGACGAGGCCTCTAGACCCAAGACAGCGTTCCACACACGCCAGGGGCTGTTCCAATTCAATCGGTTTTCTATGGGTCTCCATTCGTCCCCAGCCACCTTCCAGCATCTCATGTAGATGGTCTTGGCGGGGCTACAATGGGAGTCTTATTTGATTTACTTGGACGACGTTATTGTTTTCAGCAGTACGTTTGACGAGCACTTGCAACGCCTTGAATCAGTGTTCGTCAAAGTGCGTGCTGCGGGCTTGAAATTGAAGCCCCAGAAATGTAATTTGTTACAACCATTGGTGAAGTATTTGGGACATATTGTGAGTGTGTCAGGTGTCGCCATGGATCCGGAAAAGACAGCTTGTGTCCGGATGTGGCTGACTCCCACATCTGTCGCTGAGGTGCGTAGCTTTGTTGGCTTCACATCGTATTATCGTCGATTTGTGCGCGATTTTGCGATGATAGTGAAGCCACTGCACGCACTCTCTGCCAAATGCCCAAAGTTTTGCTGGGGGCGCAGACAAGGATGCCGCCTTTGTTACGCTTCGCACATCCTTAGCCGATGCGGCGCCCTTGGGGTACCCAGATTTTACAAAACCCGTCCTTTTCGACACCGATGCCAGCGACATGGGCATTGGGGCAGTCCTGGCTCAGGTGGTCGATGGGGTTGAAAGGGTTGTGGCCTATGGCAGCCGTGTTTTTTCCCCAGCTGAACAGCGGAATTTTGTGACCCGGAGGGAGCTGCTGGCCATAGTTTTTTTTGTGCAACTATATTGGCCCTATTTGTATGGTAGATGGTTCACCGTCCGGACTGACCATGCGACCTGCAATATTTGCTGCGGATCGATCAGCCCTTGGGTCAACTGTCCTGCTGGCTCGAGGTGCTGCAGGAATACCCTTTTGACGTCATCCACAGGAAGAGGGCACAGCATGGTAATGCTGATGGGCTGTCCAGGTTGCCTACGGAGGGTGGTTGCGCTTGTGCACTGGGTTCAAGTTGCTGCAGGACCCTAGTGGACGCCGTGGCCCTTGGTTGAAGCGGTCCCCCCTCCAGGTGTGGCGTTGCCCATTGATTTTGGCCTGGAACTCCCCCTAGAGGTATGGTCCAAGTTGCAGGTGGAGGATTCCTCTCTGCTGAGGCTACAATGCCGTGTTGGGCCAAATGACCAAGGCTCAGCTACGTCGGTTGCTCCGGTGATCGCTGTGCATAACAGCCTCCTCATGCGTTGGGATGCCCAATTGGAACGTTATTGTGTTGTTGCACCCACTGCCCTGTGAGGTAAATCGACCCGGGCATTTCACGATAAACTTATGCACCTTGGCTACAATAAGACCTTGTTGACCCTTAAACGGGACTACTACTGACCGGGTGTAGAAGGTGATGTGGCACTAATATTGAAAGGTTGCCACGACTGTGCGTGGAAGAAGGCCCCAGTTGGCCAGGATCGGGCTCCGCTGCAGTCAATCCGGGTTTCTGGTGTCAATGAGCTCATGGCACTCAACATTTTGGGCCCATTTCCAGCATCCAAACGGGGCCATAGGTACCTTATGGTGGGAGTCGAATACCTCACACGTTGGCCTATGTCATGGCCTCTGGTGGACCAATCGGCCTCTTCCATCACCAAGGCATTCGAACAAGGGTACATTCTGGACAAAGGTACCCCTGAACAACTGTTAACGGCCCAAGGGCAGAAGTTTTCTTCCCGGTTGCTCAAGGAGGTCTGCGACCTCCTTGGCACCAAGAAAATCCCCACCTCGCCCTACCACCCTCAGTCCGACGAGATGGTAGAGCGGTTGAACCGCACCCTCACGTCCATGCTGTGCCACCATGTGAATATGTCCCAATCAGACTGGGACCTGTTCATTCCGGGGATTCTGGCCGCATATTGGTTGGCTCCTCATGCCTCAACGAGGTTCTCGCCTTTTTATATAATGTATGGAAGGGAACCAGAGCCCCCGATGCACATCCAAATGGATGTAGGGACTTCCAAAAGGGGTCGTCAGTGCCCGCTACAATGAGGGTCGCACTTGACCGGCTGCATGAGAGACAGCAGGCGGCTGTGAACAATTCGACCAATCGGCAGGTGGCTAACGAGTGCCTGCCCAAACATCAAGCTGCCGGCCTTCCATGAGAAACAGGCCAAAAGGCATAGCTACACTGCCCCTAAGTACCAGTTGACACGTCTCCTAAATTGCATCGCCCTTGGCAGGGCCCTGTTGAGGTCGTGGAAATCCGTCGGCCGCAATGTGTTTGGATTTGGTTCGGTCGCCGGCACTGGATAGTACACCCGTCCCGGCTCAAACGATATGTGCCACCTAGCCTCGTGGATTCATCTCACTTCCTGAGTGGCCGGTGATTGATGCATCCGACAAGCCAGGCCGCACAGATCGTGATGGCAAAAGCGATGTCCGGCCTTTGTGTGCGCCTGCAGAGCCCTCACCAGTAACACCTGCGGCGACGCCTCGTCCATTGGAGGTCCCGGCAAAGGGGCCTGTCACCTGCTGGCGTGCCACCTGTGCCGGCAACCAACGCCGCATGGGGGAGCGGGCCTGCAGCACATATGCGCTCGAGGGGCATGCGGCTCCGGTGAAAGCCAGTGTGGCCGTTTTCATCGGCCTCCAGCCTTCGTCGCCCAGTCCTAAGTTGTCCCGTGTGATGAAGGCCTTCAAACTTTATTCTGTATTTATACCGTGCTGCCATAATGTTGGGTTCATAGTTTGCAGAGGGTCCCGCCTCAACACACACATCACATGGTTTTTATTGGTGTTCTGTTGATGTCTCCCTGTCCGGGTTGCCGGGCTCTGCTTTTGTAGTGGTTACAGCCAGGTCGGCTGATTTTTTTTCACGGGGGGGGTAATGTAGAGGAGTAGTTCGGGGATGTTACATCACGTGCACCTTCCGGTGTGATGACGTCATATGATGTGACAGTATGCGCGCCTTCCGGTACAATGACGTCATGGGAAGTGACGTCATGCATGTGGGGCGGGGCGATGACGTAATGTCTCCTCAGGGTGCTTAAAGTGGAGCTCGTGACGAGAGCGGGGTCATTATAGGAGCCCGGGAAAGTGAATGGTGGAAGAGTTAACCAGGAGTAGGGCTCATGGAGTCTGGAGAGAAATCGGCGACAGTGATAGGAGTGGCTGCTCTCCTCGGTCGATCGGTGTTGGCTGATCCTCCGGCCGATGCAGAGGAGAGAGCCCGGGAGCTAGCTGAGCTACAGAACAGACAGTGTGGGTCCGGGTGAAGGACCGAGCATAGGACCCCTACCCCTGGGGAATAGTTTGTAATCTCTTAATGATACCGGCGTAAGCCCTTAATAAACCACTGGCGTAAGCCCTTACAGAAGATCGCCCTCCGAGTTGTATTTTGCACCTTAACACTAATATACAGTTGGTAGATGCAGGTACCACCACAGTCAGTATGCACTGCGGTAATCATAGCAGGTACCACCACAGTCGGTATGCACTGCTGTAATCATAGCAGGTACCACCGCAGTCAGTATGAACTGCTATAATCATAGCAGGTACCACCACAGTCGGTATGCACTGCTGTAATCATAGCAGGTACCACCTTAGTCAGTATGCACTGCTGTAATCATAGCAGGTACCACCACAGTATGCACTTCTGTAATCATAGCAGGATACCACCACACTCAGTACGCACTGCTGTTAGATTTTTAAGAGTAGTTTTGAAATATTTTTAAGACCCGAGCAATGCCGGGTACTTCCTGCTAGTTTATAAAAAAAAAACAACAACAACGTTCATTACTCGATCACCGTCACAGTCCGAGTTTGCAATGCTTCCGGTCTTCCAATGCGTGTTTACAGGAAATATTAATTAAGTCACTGTTAGGGGCCGTCTATATATGACGTCACGCACATGGGGGGGGGGGGGAGGGGGGTCAAACATTTGTAATGATGTGTGACGAGGGGGGTTTGAGAAATATGACGTCACATCAAAATGCGCAACTTTAAATAAATACTAGCTGTACTACCCGGCTTCGCCCGGGACTTGTATCCACCACGCCCGGCCGCCTTTGTCTCCCCAGTGGCGATGTTAATACGCCACACCAGTTACTCGTTTTTAGGCTGAGTCCCTCCCTCACCACTCTCCCTCCCTCACCGCTCTCCCTCCCTCACCGCTCTCCCTCCCTCACCGCTCTCCCTTCCTCACCACTCTCCCTCCCTCACCGCTCTCCCTCCCTCACCGCTCTCCCTCCCTCACCGCTCTCCCTCCCTCACCACTCTGTAGAGGACGTGAAACTTTGATGAATTTTCCTCAAGAGTCGCGTGGTGGGTGTCGAGGCCTAGCACCGTGCAGAGCCTCCGGCCTCGCCTGATTTTTCCACCCGGCTGATGCTGGGTACGGGTGCCGTTCCCCCCCCCCCCCCCCCGCAGTACAATAATACAGTGTAATCGCTATAATTTAATAATCTACCGACCCTATAATAGTAATTGCACACATTGTGGTGGGGGGGGAGTGAAGAGGACGTGAAACTTTGATGAATTTACCTCAGAGTGGCGTGTTAATGCGTGCGCCTATTTTTAACGGGAATTTAAAATGGCGTCCACCCCGCGACGAAGGCGTCGCTACCCGTTGGCAGGGGCAACCGCCGTCCAATGAAAGCGGCGAAGGCGTCGCTACCCGTTGCCAGGGGCAACCGCCGTCCAATGAAACTGCAGCCCGCGGCGAAGGCGTCGCTACCCGTTGCCAGGGGCAACCGCCGTCCAATGAAAGCGGCGAAGGCGTCGCTACCCGTTGCCAGGGGCAACCGCCGTCCAATGAAACTGCGTATGGTCCGGCGACACACAGACACACACACAGACAGACAGATTCGCGATTTTATATATATAGATAAACATCACGTTCTACTTAATAAAATATAATTATTATAACAACAGTAATTTGTATTAATTTTCATTATTAACTATTTGATTAATTAAATTTACTAAGGTCACCTTTTATTTATTCCATGAAGGAGCATTTTGCTTCCCCATGGGAGAATGGAGAAGCATACATTTTGTAAAAATTTGGAATGATTGTCATTAAGCATTTTGATTTTAATGATTTTACAAGGGCTTTTCATTCTGTGGAATAAATATGTGATTGTTATAATTGTATTCTCCATTTTGCTTCGTTCTACTACAAAGTTTCAAGTATTTTTTATAGTTATAATTATGAGAGAATTTCAATATAATATTCTAAACATCTGCAGTTTTAGTTACACGTTGATTATTTTCAAGTGAATTTTATGCTAAATTTCAGCTTTCCAACGCCTCCTTTCAAATATTTGTTTTCTCCTACAACATCAGAGTGCAGCACCACATTAAATACGCACTACAATGACAATAGTTTAAAGTGATTTGAAGCATGTTTTATTAATCGGCAAAAATCGCATAACGTCATTTATGGACAGCCCCTTACTTCAGCGAGGTCTAAATACATAATGTCTATAAGATGGTCGGTTTAATGCAATGCTGTTTAATGTGTATGATATGCTAACGCTTCGTGCAATGGCCCTTCTTCAGAGCAGAGAGAGAGGGCAGTTTCACTGATGTATGGTTGAACTTCGCGCTTCACAGTTGGGCCCTTTAAACCCTTGGATAATTTGAAGTTGCCGTATTAACCCAGTCACCCATTGGGTAGCAAACAAACTCCCTCGAGCAGTGAGATATCGATATAGAAACCTCTCATGTCCGATAGGGACCCAGCGGCTTCTGTTAGCGATCAAAAGCAGCCCTCTCATGTAAATATAGACACGTACATATGAATGTAAACATGTCCATATAGACATGTGTACTATACGGATACTACCCGCTTGGGCAGGGCTTCATCTAGCAGTGGATTGATCATGGCTACTGCTGATGATGATGATGATTTTAAAACGTGTACAGAGAATTAACAGTGACACTACATCGCGTGCCCGACAGGCAGAACAAACAAGGCAGGCGATGCGACTGACAGTGCGCAATTAAACAAAAAGGGCAGGCGATACAGACTGAGCATATGAGGCGTACAACATACAACACACGCGCCACAGTGGCAACAACGACGACTACAACAACCACAAACGCCACAGCAGCAGCAGTCGTGCGTAGCGGCTGGAGAGTGAAGAGCACGCAGACGTAAGTGTGAAACGTCCCTGCGGATCACTATTGTGCAATTTCACTCAAACCTTTGTTTAACACCATTATTCAACAAAGAGAGCGAGTATTCAACTAAGCAAGGGTCCGAGACCCAACTTGGTCAAACACCCCCACGGGGAGACTCTGTATCCGATTGTTTTGCAATTGCAGGATATGGGTGTCGACAGGGATCTCAGCGGGAACTGAACTCAGTTCTCTAGTGTAACAGTCAAAATAATGGAGCCTATTCACAGGACCCACGTAGCACGAACACTGCAAGGGTCGTGCGGCTCCGCGTGGCACCAGCACAGACTTCGCCTCCTTCAAAACTCAAATCATCAAGGAAATTAGATGATTTTCACTTAGCAGTTATTTGCGTGTGATTTATTATCATGGGTTATTATTTAAACACTTGCATTGTTATTTTTTCAATATATTAATATGCAAGTATCTCCAAGTATTTGATCAACATTCAGGTACCACACAATATTCAGAATATTCAGTTTATGTCTATTCTGTTTCTGTACATATGTGCAGTGACACAGCGCTGTCCAGCAGCAGAAACTGCAGTGGACAGTTAGCGCACACGCTGTTGATTATTTACACGGGTGCGCCAGCAGGGCGGAGGAACTGGGGCAGGGAATCACGAGCGACCTCTTTGAGAAGCCCCTGGAACCTGCTAGTGGTGCCAGGCCAAGCCGAGTAGGATAAAAACAGCAGAGAGCAAGAGTTATGTGCTGTCAGATCTGGGATTGGACTCATCTCGTCGTCGCTGTCAGCTTCGCTGCCTTCATCGCTGATGCCTTCACGCGATTATTGCATGCCTGGATAGTTCTTGGCTGTCCTGGTCGACGCCGTCAGTTTAACGCGGTTAGACTTGTGTTTAGGCTGGGCTGTACGACATCAGGAAACTACGGGGTGAAATTGTCAAGCTGAGAGTGATAAGGTGCCTCCGACAAATACCTCGTCTCTGACTTGTGCTACACTACATCTGGTGTCAGAAGTGGGGTACCCAAGTAACTAAGAAGAGGGACCCACAAATAGTGTCATCAGTACGAGGACGGCAAAACGGCCATCCCTTCGACAATCCCGGGACCCGGGACCCCGTTTATGAAGCCAGCTGGCTGCGGAGCAGCCGGAGAGCCGCCACGGATCAGCGCGACATCCGCTACACATCGACGGGAGGGCGGCTACGCATCTGCGGCAGAAGCGGCCACGCATTGGCGGGAGAGCGGCTAAGCATGTGTGGAGAAAACGGCTGCACATCGAAAGGAGAGCGGCGCAATTTTTCTGCGGTCGCGTGCCAACCACGTGGCATCGTGGAGGTTCGCCGTGGCGGGAGAGGTGAGGGACATCATGGAGGATGCGCCGCGGTAAGTGGCGCAGAGAGGAGGAGCCCAGACCAGAGAGCGGAGGAGCCCAGACCAGAGATCATACATATGATGGGCACCATTTTTCCCCTGGAGAATCTGCCATGGCCAGCAGCCGCCATTTTGAGGTGAGCGTGTGAACGTGCGGAAAGTCGGCGGTGCTGCAAGAGGCCATTTTTAGCATGCCACGGGAGGCCCTCACCAGGTTCCTCCAGAGGGAGCAAAGGGTGCCTGAGATGCCCTTACATGTTCCAGGAGGCGCTACTGGTGCTGGGATGGGAGACATACCCACATTTGGGTGAGAGGGCGCTCGACTTCCAGGTAGCAGAAAGGCTGAGGGCGCTGGCACAGGAGTTGAAGATCGCCCTACCATCTGCCACTGGCGAAGAGATCTTGTCCTTGATGGTTTCCCAAAAAGTTCAAGCCTACGAGGACCACCAGTAGTGGTCAAAGGTGGAGGCTGGACCATGGGGGATTGAGGACGTGATGGCTGCATTGGGTGGTCGGGGGACGTACGGGAGAAGGTCCCCGCGGGCAGAATGGCGGCCGGGGCAGTCCCTTCTGCCCTGGGAACCCATGGCCAAGTGTTTCATGTGTGGTCGGTCGAGCCACATCACGATAGAGTGCCAGGGAGGTGGCAAGGTGCCAGATGTGCCACCAATGCCCTCCCACCCGCCAGCAACATCTTCTCAGGCCCCACCAAATCCAGGTCTCCAAGGCCTACCGAGGATGCCATGTGCGAAGCGCCGGGGACCGGATACGGACAGGTGGGGTAAATATTCAGGCAGGGGCCGCGCCCTTTAGGCCACTGTGTTTGTTTTTTCCCCTTCACCTCTCCATTTATCGGAGTCCCAAAGGTGCAAAAACCTGCTAAGGCGGGAGTGACCTGTGTCACAGACTGGCTCACACAAGCTACGTCCCAATGTAAACGGGAAATCTCCCTTGCACAGTAGAATTCGCATTGTGTGGGGTGTGTTGTCGGTTCACGGGAGGCGCCGAGTTGTATCAGGTGTGCTGTCAGGTTGCAGTGAGCACCACGTTGTGCTGGGGGCTGTGTGTTGTTGGTTCGCGGAATGCACCGCGGTTGTGTTGTGACTGTATGTTATGTTTTTTTTCGGTGTTAGGGGTGTTGCTCGGATTCGGGGATTGCTCTACCTGTCCACCGGTTGCAGCTGTTGTTTTGTCAGCCGCGACAGCTGTTTTTTATTAGAGAGGGGGGAGGGGTGATGTGGTAATACAGCACCAACTGCTGTTCAGCAGCAGCAACTGCGGTGGGCAATTACCGCACACGCCATTGGGAATATACAGGGGTGTGCCTGCAGGGCAGAGGAACTGGGGCATAGGTCATCGAGAAGCTTCTGGAACGTGCTAGTGGGTTTGAGAAGGAAGGCACAGCCAGGGCTGAGCCACGCCACGCTGAGTAGGATATAAGCATCGGAGAGAGAGGTCCACGCTGTCAGTTCTGGGATTGGATTCGTCTCGTCATCACGGTTGTCTTCGCTGCCTTTGTTCGATTATTGCGCGGCCGGAGAATTGTTGGCTTTCCTGGTCAACGCCATCAGTGTAACGCGGTTAGGGTTGTGTTTAGGTTGGGCTGTACGAAATCAGGAAGCTACGAGGCAAACCTGTCGAACTAAGAGTGATAATAAAGAAGGTGCCTCCTGCAACTACCTCGTGCTACACTACATATGTATAGAAGCTCCGATGAGACGTTCATGAAGATTGAGGTACGATCATTGGCATGCTATTTTAATTCAGTAATAACACATTGTACAACAATATAATAATAACGGTGTTTTGTATGTTTTTAGAGTGCATGGAAAAATAAGTAATGTTGCTTTCAAATCCTAAGAACTGGGTTAGTACGGAAGATAATAAACACATAGATTGAGAGGTATTGTTCGATTGAAAACAGACATGATCATGTACCTCTGTGGTAATAACTTTAACCATTTTAAACATTCACACCGAGAGGGGGGATCTATTCAGTCAAAATGTTGGTGTTTATTTTCATCAGCCTGTTATACGGTGGTGACTACGATCGTCCGGTCCTTAACTAGGTGCAAAGAACGCTGACTGGTGATGGCGTTGCTTCTACCGATGCATTGTCGCGTGGGTGCCAATCACGAGAACAGCAAGGGTCAGCGTGTTGTTGTCGACAGCGAGAGACACAAACAACTTGGACTCGTGGTGGAGAAGTAAAAGCAGTCCGGTGTTGACAGTGACACACACATCTACATTTGTCGACGTAGTGGAGAAATGTTTTGCTGTGATTCCCTTTGATGTTAAATACTGTACTGAAAACTGCCATCTCCTTCGGTGTCCAATATGTCATGAATACAAAAATAAGCAACACTGCCTCACTACGGATTATCCCAGTAAACATCACTCCCCGAATGTGACAGTTAAAGAATGGCGGATGTAAGCGGATATCACAGAGCTACCTCTTAGATCCATTTAAGTTCCTTGAAGTCCACACACAGTCGAGAGCATCACTTCCCACTTCCTTTGCATATGAGAGTAATGTCCATCGCATGACAGTCAAATCGATAATTTAGTTGTCAGAGCCGGAATTTAGACAAATAAATGTGTCTATAGTGTATGAACACCTGTGCTCCCCACTGAGCCAACTTGCTGCGTTTTTGACACCGATATACCGTTAACAGATCAGCTCCACGGAAGGTCCTGGTGTCAAGGATAAGAGCCCACATTCAATGTGCCATCACTATGCAGTCCAGCAGATGTTCTTGGTTGGTGCCGGCATGCACCTGTAATAAACCTTCTTGAGACGGCTTCCAGAATCAGTCCTCTTTATTTGCAACTTCCACAGTTACACTTCACACACACTCCCCGTTGCTGACAGACAACGGAGAGAGGGCAGACTTCCCGCCAAGTCCCCACCGTGCACGTGGCACCCAGAGCCCCCGTACGTACGCGCGTGACTCCTGCTCTTCTCATTCCCAAGTCTGCTCACGACTGCTCTCTCTCTTAATCCCTTCGTCACGTGGTACCCCCCAGCCAATCCTCCATAGACAGCGTTGACCGTTCCCGATGGTTCCATGTCAATCCCGGGACCACGCCTCTGATCCGGCTCCCCATTAGCTGAGGCCCCGATTGGCCAGGCCAATCACCCCTGCTAACATGCCGTGATCACGCCTAGGCCATGCTCCCTGGCTCATCCCTTATTGGCTACAAAGCAGGACCGGCAAGCCAATACGTGTACAGTAGTGTAAAATTATACGTGTACAGTGTTTCTTTCAATGTATATTCTAGCATTCAGCTATCCATGCTTTAAGCAATTATTAGTCTACAAAAAATACTATTAATATACGTTATTATCCAGTGTAAACGAATTGTCAATTTTCCATGCAATTGCACGCACCACATTTTTTTTCTTCTCCACAAAATCATATCCTTGCTTATTACTCTACACGTTTGAGGATTTTATGCAGACACGGCATTAGTATGGTCTCGAGTTTTTCAGGATAATTGTTCAGAAACCATACACGACTTTGATAACGATCTGCCAGCGCTTGTCCGTCGGTGAGTAATCATCAGTTTCGTGTATAGCGTTAAATATAAGCGACGGCAAACGCAGTCAGCATTTAAACACGACACGCTATTTTTAACAGAGCTTGTGGGTGCCGGCATCCACCCCACCGCGATCGCTGCGCAGGTGGGGCGCGACGTCCGCCCCCTCCACTCCCTCCTCCACCGCGTTGATCTGCTCCCGTCGAGCCCCTGCTGACCGGGTAAACGGCCCCCCCACGCTAGCGCCCTCTCTGAGGAACATAGCTAAATTGCTTGCTGACCGCCGCACGGGGTTACTCCACACATGCCCGCATACACCACCACTCTTCAACACACCAGTGTGCTGTACTAGTGACGAATTGGCATGTTCTGTTGACGTGACAACCCTTACTAGTTGGCTGTGTTGGATGGTGGAAGGTTTCAACGACACATTTATATATTTAGGCGATCTAACCCAAACACCTCTATTATGGATGATATTGGTCGCGAAAGCCTGCGTGTTAAACTTAAATACTTCTGTTTGTTTAAGGGCTGTCGAGCTCCACCCACCCCCTCCATTTCATTTCCCGTTCCACCCCACCCTTGTCCATTCCCTAGAGGGGTATCCGAGTTAAGGAAGTAGATACTAGGGATGTAAAGTTTAATTCAACACATGGCATAGACAGGTGGTTCAAAATATAGAACGTCAGTAACAATCATTGTACTTTGCATTGTATCTATACTAGTGCCAATTTCATACATGTCCTCTGTGCGTACTTGAATAGTTTGTTTCATTGAAATACTTTTGGCAAAAAAAGCCTTTCGACCGTGTGCACAGGGAGTTTATTCAAAACACCTCCAGTTTACCAAGACAATATAATGGACCTTGCAATGGCAGTCAATCTTCGGTGCAATATGAAAGACAACAGTGTGATTTGGTTCCATATTGTTAGACAACGATAGGCGGGACAAATAAAAACATGTGTAGATTAAAGTAACTTCATAGGCGTAGTACAGGTACATCAGTATTGATGTTCAAGGCCATGACAAGCTTAGAGTGCGGGAGCAGTGGCAGCTGCGTCTGTGAAACGCGCCCCTGGGAACGCTCTTCAGTTCATTGACGTTCAGAGCCAGATAAGTGAGCTGGGTCAGTTTGTCAAACACACCAACGGGTAGAGCCGTCAGCTTGTTCCCCTCCAGATGCAGCTTCTGCAGATTCCCCAAGTGGTCAAACACCCCGGGCGAGGAGGGCTTGTGCCCGGTAGTTGCTTTGGGCAGAGAGCTCATGACGATTAAAGACAACGGCTGATTATCCAGTCCATGTACACAGTGGACAGGCTTACTCTTAGATTAGAATTGCGTTTGGAGACTTCAACACATTCCTGCGGAGGGAGCTGGTAGGAACGTTGGGTTGCTCGGTCAATGGCCAGGGTCAACGGCGGCGTGGTGTATTCCGCAAATATGCCCGACTGTGAGGGCGGGCACAAGCCGGCGTGAGTAGGTTAAACGTTGAGTTTTATAAGGGCACCACGGGGTGAACAGCCCCTCTCCACCCAGCCCCACCCCTCCCACCCCCCACCCAACCCCACCCTCCCCACCCAGCCCCACCCTCCCCACCCTCCCCTCCCCACCCAGCCCCTCTCCACCCTCCCCACCCAGCCCCTCCCCACCCTCCCCACCCAGCCCTTCCCCACCCTCCCCTCTCCACCCAGCCCCACCCCTACCATTTTTGGATGCACGACGGACGGACGAACACAATTATCCCCTGTGGGCTGGTGTAACCAGGAGGTTCCTACCAGTATAAGGTTTTGGATTACTCAAAGAGAATAGAGAAGTTTAACACGTAGGCTTTCGCGACCAATATTATCCATAGTAGAGTTTTTTTGCGTTAGATCGCGTAAATATATAAATGTGTCGTTAAAACCCACCACCACACGACACAGCCAACTAGTAATGGTTTTCACGTAAACAGAACTTGCTAATTCGTCACTAATACAGCACACCGGTGTGTTGGAGAGCCAAGCCACAACATTTACAACCTGAGAACGACGTTTCGCCAGCAATTACAACTAGCTTCATCAGGCGACCGCCAGATTTGTGGAGAAGTCTAACTGTTTTGTTCCTTATATAGAGGCGTGGATGTGGTGACCACACTTCTGCACTTTTGCGCAAAGTGTGGAGAGGGGATTAATGAGTCAACGTGCATTATGTATGTGCATTATGTGAGCTCTTTGATCGTGTCCTTCTTGTCCATTGTGTGTATTAAAATAGCCGTACCAACGGTAATCCCTATTGCAATATGGTGCCCTTCATAGGCATGCATTTTAATAATGTATTATTTTATTATTCGCTTCCACACAGCCCTATGGTAGGCGATTTCGTTATACTGTTGCCTACTAAGCAAAACAAACTGCTGTTGAGATGGAAAGTTCCATATAAGGTCATCGGAAAAGTGGGAATGGCAGATTACAGGGTAGAGGTCAACGGGACTGAATGCCTGCACCATGCCAACATCCTAAAGAAATATATTAAGAGAGAAACGCCCCGTTTTGAAGCCTGAAATGGAGGTGAAGGGATGTGGCATCACCCACTTGGAGGTAGTGATGGGGGGGTGGGTAATATATGTGTAGGGGTGTCAGGGGAAGGATTCCCACCAATAGGTGGGCTAGTGGGAGGGGTGATCGAGGAGATATAAGGAGAGAACGGGCGGGAAGAAGGGGCCTTTGGCGGGAACGATATTAGGACGGCTGGGGACAGGTGTGGATGGAAGGAAAGGAATAAAGGACGAGACCCCTGCAATCTGGTGTCGGCTCCCCCTTTACATATGCTTGGCTGAAAATGGGGCGGTTGGCGAGGAAGCAGGAATTGGTCTGGTACCATCACCACGGGATCTAGTGAGAGGTGGGGGGACGTCAGTGTTGGTACTAACCTAAGGCCCCAACAACAGTAACAAGTGTGGAACCTCTTGCAAAGGTATAATGGGGTACTAACAAGTAGACCAGGCAGTACAGAACTAGCTACCTTCCGCATCATGCTGACAGATAACACTCCTTTAAGACAGAACCCATACCCTGTACCAATCGCATTGAAGGATCACATTGATCGTGAAGTGAAGGCAATGCTTGACATGGGGGTGGTTGAGGAGTCAGACTCTCAGTATTCCAGCCCTGTTGTCTGCGTGGGGAAGAAGGATGGCACAGTGCGATTCTGTGTGGATTATCCACGCTTGAATATAATCACGGTGGCAGATGCTGAGCCCATCCCAACCATGGAGGCGTTGTTCACGCAACTGGGGGGATCTCGATACTTTTCAAAGCTTGACCTTACAAAAGGGTACTGGCAAAGGACAATTGGCACAATACAGCATTTGCCACTCATGATGGGTTGTATCATTTTACGAAAAGGCCCTTCAGTCTGGTAAATGACGGCTGCTAACAGGCATTCTCCAGGCTGTAACCTACATAGATTATATACTCATCCACACGGCAACTTGGAAAGAACACCTGGAGGTACTGGAAGCAGTGCTAGAGCGGTTGAAGAACAGCCAATTGACGGCCTAACTGACAAAGTGTGAAGTTGCTAAGAGGGCTATTGCTTGCCTTGGACATCGGGTGGGTGAAGGGATCATTCAGCCTCAGTAGGCTAAAGTCCAAAAGATTACAGAAACCAAAGTTCCGAGCACGAAAAAAGAACTGCGTTCTTTTTTAAGATTGGTTAGGTTTTACTGCAAGTTCATCGCAAACTTTGCTGAATTGGCTAAACCTTTGACAGATAAAACTCACAAGGGAGAACCAAACCACGTAACGTGGAGTGAGGAGGTAAAGCAGAGTTTTGAGGGGCTACGAAAGGCCTTGACCCACAAACCAATTATATAGCTGACAGATGTAGGCAAAGCATTTGTGCTCCGCACAGACGCATCGGAAAACGGGCAAGGTGCAGTACTATTCCAGGAATGTGAGGGAGAGTTGTTTACAGTACTCTATGCAAGTCTAAAACTACTAGCCAGGGAGCGCAACTATTCCATAATTGAGTGGGAGTGCCTAGCTCTAGTATGGGCGGTACACAAGTTGCGAATGTATCTGTATGGAAGGGAGTTCATATTAGAGACTGATCACAAACCCCTCTTGTACCTGAATTGGGCTACAATGGGGAATGGCAGGGTGATGCATTGCGCCTTGTCACTTCAGCCATATAATTACAGGGTGAAAGTTCTGAAAGGATGTGGGAATGTAGGGGCGAATGTCCTGAGTCGAAGCGAGACTGGGTCCCCACCTGTTTAAGTATGCTTCAGCGTGCTACGCAAGGGAGAGTTGAGGGAGCCTCAACAAAGTTTCGTTCATGAAGCTATCCATATATACAGATACAGACACAATTTAAATCGAGAGGATGGGTACAAACTCAGCAATCATTAAAAAGACGTCATCAACCAGTTTAAGTCATAACTGGCTGTGTTGTTTCCATCCTGCCACCTTCCGATGTAAAACATAAATATTTTTTCCCCGTGGCCTCGGCTCTATTGATTTTACATTAACAGGTTGATTTTCTCGCGCCAACGTGGCTACCTCTGGACGCCGACCTCGATGTGGTGGTGGCTCTGCGATCTTACATTAACATGCTAATCTCTCACATTAACATTTCAGTTTAATTTATTAGGTATAACCCTGTGAGCCATGCGGCTCTTGACTCGGGTACAAACGCAAAAAAACAAAAACATGAACAAGAAACATCTTAAAGTGACTATACGCAACAGGACAATCCTGGGAAAAACAGCAAAGTCTTCCAGAAAAAACGCCGTATATCAACGCTGTGTGCAAAAATCCCAGTGGGATGCAAGTCAAACAATAACAACCATAAGACAATGTAGATTAAAGTTATCAGGTTAACTCTGTACTACAACCAACAAACATGGCTAAACCAAAACGTTTTCAAAATCACCAAAATAAAGCTATAAAAACAATGTAACTATGATCATAGGAACTGTGATTCAAATTTAACAATAAACGAGATACAAAACATGTACGACCAAACTTTGCAGCTATAGTTGGCTGCATGAGTCACTCTATAACAGCAGGAGTATCAGTAGCAGAATACAAAAAATTAAATACACCTTTTGCAGTGGTCATCCGGAATGATACATTTGATTTCAGGCCATTCTGAATAGCAGTGGCTGCTAGGGGTGTACAACTCTTCTAGAGCAGTTTTGAGTGAAGATCTCACAGATAGTGATCCAAGTTGCAGTTTATTGGCGATAGCATTCAATACCCTGGGGGCATCAATAGAAAGGCCCTTTGTCCAGTATTTGTGTAGAGGTGGTAAGTACTGGGGTGAAGCGAGCCATCGCGTAGCCGGTGTCTACATCACGTTCCGCACATGGGTGGCTACACCGACGTCCGCATTAGCCCCGCCCCTCGGGGGCAGAGGGCTATATAGGGCGGTGCGCGTGAGCACTCGGGGAGTCGTTGAAGCCAGTGAAGAATGAAGACGGAGCAAGCTAGATAGGACCCTGGGACCCCTGGCCCCGCTGCCCTTATCAGGGCCGGGACTCTGTGTGGCTCAGTGGTGAGACCCTGGGTACTCGCGGCCCGACGTCCTTATCAGGGGTGGGTTTGATGGGCCAGTAGTTGAGACCCGTACCCTGGCTAGGTCAGGTCAAATAGCCTCCTCTAGGAAGTACATAGCCGGAGGACCTGAGAGCGTACCTGGTGTCAGGCACACGTAGCCGTAGGTTGTGTTCCTAGGCTGTATAGATGACTGTTTCTGTAGGGTGTTATAAATAAATATGTGCTGCCTCCGTCAACTCGTCTCCTGCAGTATTTACACCGTTACAATTGGTGTCAGAAGTGAAACTGTCTTCACGTAATAGATACCAGGAAGACTATTCGTACTCACGAGCATGGCCAGGATGACGACCAGGAGGGGACGAGTCAGCAGGCTTCGGACGGGGAATCAGAGGTGGTGCCGACGCTGCAGCACCAGTCGCGGATTTCTGACACACCGCTGCAGCTGGGGGATGGGCTCCAGGATGATCACTCCCGCCTGGCTGAGTTGCTGCTCGCCGCTGCCTCCATATTGGCGGAGATTACTGCATCTGGAGGAGGGAGGGCTGGTGCCCGTGAAGAAAATTGGCGCCAAACGCCGGCTCGTGCCAGCACCGCGCCGCAACGCAAGGATTGGCGCCAAAATCAGCCTCCCACCACGGACACTGAAATTGGCGCCATTCTTCCGCCTAGTTCGTTGACTG